TTCAGTCTCAGGCCGATTACGGCAGGGGCAGGGGCACGGCCTTCAGCTTTCCAGGCTCTGTCATCACCTTCTAACGGTCTAAGCAGAACCCACCCACGCCGAGTTCAGCTCTGGGAAGATGACCAGGAGAACCCCCTGAATGAGATGCATCCCCCTTCGCCGTCCACCTGCAGAAGAGAACTTAGTCTGGAAGCTCCTTATGAGAGAACACGCAGCACAGCAGCAGGCTAGCCGGCCGCCGCCATGGCGAGTTGCACACAGCGCGACGCCGTGAGGAACACGACGATGCAGCAGGCCCGGCCTGCACAGCATTTGCACGTAAGCAACAAGCTGCTACTCACGGAATTCTGTCCACATCTTTCAATCAACGTTAAAGGATGTGCAAGTCCCCAGCTCGGACGTTTATGACTTTCGGGCAGTTAGTTGTTTGGAAACTTGATCACATCTCACCGTAGGAATGATCATTTAAATACAGCTCGTTTTCTCAGTCCGATTCACAAAAGCTTATTCCTAATATCCCCCAAACAAAAATGTATGTACAACAGAAACAAATCACTGTTGGTAGTAGTATCTTAATAAAAAAAGACATTGAAAATTGAAGCCTGGGGTCTGGGAACGCAAACCTCACAATACCCTCCGTTCAGGGAAGCACAGAGACGCTCTGAGGTGGGCAGTGGGTGAAGGAAGGGGTGGGAAACTGGGGGACTGGTTAAAGGGGAGCTGGAGCAGAGGAGGGTAGATGCTCCCAAACGTCTTCTTTTCCCTCCCTGAGCTAGCTGCGGAGGGCATGAGGAGAGAGGCAGAGAGGAAGGCCAGGATGTTCATGTGCTCACCGCCCTTGCCCTGGCTAACACGAGCTACACTCCCTCTCACGGAGAAAACAAGAATGAGGCATGGAGGCCAGCTCAGAATCTCCAACCAGAGAAATATAAAAAGCCAGTGTTTTAAGGAAAAAGTGGATCCACGAAGTCCCAGTAAGAAGGAAAAAAGAAGGAAAAAGAGGAGGAGTAAGAAATGAAACGCCGACCTCAGAAGCCAAGCCCCCAGCACCGTGGAGACATCCTAGGCGAGTAAGACCGTTTTCAGCGAGAGGTAACAGAGCAGAACTGCTCAAGAGGAGACTTTCCACCAGTTAAAACCCTGTAAGGAGTCCCTAATTTGGGTTTTAAGTGTATATTGATGTTGTTTTTCTTATTATTAGGTAAATTTGCTATAGGGCACATTCATTGGCCAGACAGAGGTGGGGAGGGAGAGAGAGGGAAAGTGAGAAAGTGAGAGAGACCCAGAGGGGGTGGCCACTCTGCGACCCCTTCTCCAGCCTCCAGTTGGGACTTTGGGCTTACACACGTATGCACCTGGTGTGTTTCTGCAGCTGCTGGGTCTGAAACTCAAACCACAGAGTCAGCCATGTGGGATCCCGCCACCTTAACCACCAGGCCATGGGTTGGCCCTTCATTGCTTTCTTATGCCCTGGAGTTTGTAGAGCTGCGTTAATAGATTTAACGTGTGCGTATGGATTTGCTCAGGGAACCACAGACTCGCAGACGGGCGTCAGTGTAAGAATCGCTGATAGGCCCAGAGGCTCTGCTCTGCACACCAGCACCCACGTCCCCTGCGTGAGATATTTCTCAGCTCCTGTATCTTTAAGTGTATTAATTTACTTCTTTCATATGAGAGCGAGACAGAGATTCTGACAGGGTCTCACCACTCCGTGACACCCCCCTCCCCCGGCTTCTAGCCACCAGAACCCTGGGCATGTCCGACGTGCTCAGGTGGGCCTGAGACCCAGACTTGGGGCCTCCCACAGGACTCCAGTTTAGCACGAGGGGGCGCCACCTCCTACCCACGGCACCTGGGTCAGTGTCAGATTTTAGAGAGATGAACTTTTTCCTTCTTCTTATTGTGACTTAATGGATCCACTTTTTTCTTAAAATATTAGCTTTTTCTATTTCTCTGAGGTAAAAGCCAATAAGGTACACTTTTCTTGGGAAAGGAACCACTCAAGAGCAGAGCAGGGGTGGACAGGGGGTGGGACAACAGAAAACAGGGGTGAGGAGTCTAGAACTCGGCTGTCCGGTGTGAGTGCCCCAGTGGAAGCTAACCGTCATCAAGTGCCCCCGAAACCCACACCGAGAACCGCTGGACTTAAACCTCAAAAGGTCAATTCCTTTGGAAAGGAACGAAGTGGGCCGAGCGAGTCAGGGAAGGCAGGGCAGAAGCTCTGTGCTCACCGTCCGTCCTACGGAAGACACACCAACCTGTCCTTCCCGAAAACACCCCTCTTCCTCAGCCGCGATCCCGGGGAGACTCCTGCGCTGCTGGTCACCTGTGCTGTCCGTACACGCACGGCCGCCAAAACGGACAGCGGCAGACAGAGGGGAGGGAAAGTGAGAAAGTGAGAGAGACCCAGAGGGGGTGGCCACTCTGCGACCCCTTCTCCAGCCTCCAGTTGGGACTTTGGGCTTACACACGTATGCACCTGGTGTGTTTCTGCAGCTGCTGGGTCTGAAACTCAAACCACAGAGTCAGCCATGTGGGATCCCGCCACCTTAACCACCAGGCCATGGGTTGGCCCTTCATTGCTTTCTTATGCCCTGGAGTTTGTAGAGCTGCGTTAATAGATTTAACGTGTGCGTATGGATTTGCTCAGGGAACCACAGACTCGCAGACGGGCGTCAGTGTAAGAATCGCTGATAGGCCCAGAGGCTCTGCTCTGCACACCAGCACCCACGTCCCCTGCGTGAGATATTTCTCAGCTCCTGTATCTTTAAGTGTATTAATTTACTTCTTTCATATGAGAGCGAGACAGAGATTCTGACAGGGTCTCACCACTCCGTGACACCCCCCTCCCCCGGCTTCTAGCCACCAGAACCCTGGGCATGTCCGACGTGCTCAGGTGGGCCTGAGACCCAGACTTGGGGCCTCCCACAGGACTCCAGTTTAGCACGAGGGGGCGCCACCTCCTACCCACGGCACCTGGGTCAGTGTCAGATTTTAGAGAGATGAACTTTTTCCTTCTTCTTATTGTGACTTAATGGATCCACTTTTTTCTTAAAATATTAGCTTTTTCTATTTCTCTGAGGTAAAAGCCAATAAGGTACACTTTTCTTGGGAAAGGAACCACTCAAGAGCAGAGCAGGGGTGGACAGGGGGTGGGACAACAGAAAACAGGGGTGAGGAGTCTAGAACTCGGCTGTCCGGTGTGAGTGCCCCAGTGGAAGCTAACCGTCATCAAGTGCCCCCGAAACCCACACCGAGAACCGCTGGACTTAAACCTCAAAAGGTCAATTCCTTTGGAAAGGAACGAAGTGGGCCGAGCGAGTCAGGGAAGGCAGGGCAGAAGCTCTGTGCTCACCGTCCGTCCTACGGAAGACACACCAACCTGTCCTTCCCGAAAACACCCCTCTTCCTCAGCCGCGATCCCGGGGAGACTCCTGCGCTGCTGGTCACCTGTGCTGTCCGTACACGCACGGCCGCCAAAACGGACAGCGGCAGACAGATGGCCACTTTGGAATCCCAGGCCACCTCCCGGGGCTGCGCACTGTCGAGCGCAGTGGGGAGGCAGACCCCGAGGACTCACACGACGGTGCCCGAGTGCACACGCGGCCCCGTGGTGGGCCGCTCCCTGCTGCCTGTGCAGGGTCCTCCCTCTGTTCCCTGACCCCGGCAGCCTCCCCGGATTTATTAGGCCGCGCGTTGGTCAGCCGCCTTATGGAATGTGCACTCTGAGCTGTCTCTGCCTGCTTCCCAACTCCCCGAACTCGTGCCTGGGCCTGGGTTTCCCGCTCTCGGCTTTACCTGCAGGACTCCTGCACTGCCGTTGGTGCAGGGCCCGAGGCCCCCACGTGGCCTCCAAGACGGGCCAGGTCATCTGTCCCGGGACTACCTTGAGCCATTTGGGGTAGGAAAGTCATGAATAATGAGGTCTTCTCAGATAGCAAGACCAGTTAATTCAAGGTCGAGCTGCTCAGAGCTTAGCATGGTCTTAAAACTGCAAGTGCCAAGCCTGCGGGCGAGCGTGGGGATCCGCACACGAGCTCGCCCCCGCCCGGACCGACTGCGGGGGCCTCAGGACAACGGCTGGTTTATGAGAGTCCAGGGCGGAAATGGCAGCGGTCATGGGGGATGGGGGGTCGGTCAGGGTCTCCCAGTCCTGAAGGTGGAGCGGGGGCATCTCCTTCTGCCCGTCCCCCACGGACTGTCACTGGACCCGGTGCGGAGCGGAGCTGTCGTGTGGCCCTTGGCTTCCGAAAACAGTTTCTTTCTTTCTCTCTCTCTCTCTCTCTCTCTCTCTCTTTCTTTCTTTCTTTCTTTCTTTCTTTCTCTCTCTTTCTCTCTCTTTCTTTCCTTTCCTTTCCTTTCCTTTTCTAAAGAATTATTCATTTTACTTATTTATTCATTTGTTTTATTTTAACAGTGAGAGACTGAGGGAACCAAGTTGCCAGGTACAGGACTCCACGCTTGGCCGTGCGGGAGCCCAGCGCCTCCGCCACCCGCCGCCCGCCGCCCGCCAGCCTCGGCCGTGCACGTCCCCACGAAGATCTGGCTAAAAGGTTGTCTGTGCCTGCACTCGTGCTTGGCTGAAATCTGTCTCAGCACTTGGTTATGCGGAGACCGTCCAGCAAACTCGCTGTCTCTAACGAGGCAAAAGCAGCCGAGAGCTCACCGGGAAGGCAGAGCCACGTGCATTTCACATAGCACCTCGGGCACGTGGTTGGGCACCTCGCGCAGACCCGGCGTCCCCACGGACCCTGCCTCACACTGAGCCCTGCGGCCTGGTTCGCACCTGTGAGGAGTCCCGCATCCTGTGACAGGGCACGTTACACGGCCCCCGCCCGGCAACCCACAGCTTGCACCCTGCAAGCCCGAGGCTTCACTCCCGTGTTCACAGGAGTACCGGCTCAGAGCATTGGGACTGCTTTGAAAAAGTTGCAGAAAAACATCTCTACACTGGGAAAATCTTACATCGGAATTAACTTGTTAGAAAAGACTTCACTTACCTGAGGACCAGGCTGACCCTGAAATTGAAAAGAAGAAAAAGAATTACAGAATTGTCATCTTAAGTGAGCATTTCCATTACCAATACTTAAACCCAATTCTGAAGGTAATACCTAACTACTGACGAATTCATTCTGTGCTTCAAAAATCTTACCGCACCTTAAGATATCTATTCTATGCAATTTATCTGAAATCCTGCTATTCTGGTCTACCCCGTGGAACTCCAAAATGACTCAAGGACTTCAGCACGCTCCAGAATCCACCTGGGGAACGAGAGGGTGAAGAGGGCCCTCCATCTCACATGACGCAGGTGAGTGGACCAGGTGAAGGGAGAAGGTTCTAGCAAGGCTATTACTGAGCTACATATTCAAAGGCGACACAGAACTGCAAGACAGGCAGGTGCTGTGAGGAGTTCGAAGTCCCGAGTCTGCATTTGTTGCTGTCTTAAGGACATTTCAGGTCAGCTGTCGCGACCTACCCCACTCTGCCAATCAAAACTAAGGGCTTTTTCGAAAGGGAGGGAGGGGTCCTGGGCCATCAAGTGCACTGTCACCCCTCGTGCTGTCATAGGCCATGTGGCCTCTGCCCAGCCTGATTCATTTCACATGTCACGCTTTTGACACTTGAAAGACAATAAAAATTTCAAAGCAGCATAACTAAGTGCTTCTACCAAAATACAGAAAAGTCACCTATAAATAAGCATATTGATTACACATCACCTTCTCTGAATCTCCAACTGGGCTTTATGTCAGGCAAAATGAAAGAAAACGTTCCCACCGGGTCAGAGAATCGTAAGAGACGAAGAAATAGGCCGGCAGGGGTCAGGACGAGCATAGAGCCCCATGGGAAGGTCCCAGGTTTGCCCCGAGGCCTCCCTGTACAGGCCGGGCCTGTGATCGGGCGCAGGGGAGGTGGGGTGCGGGGGCTCGGCAGGGGGTCCCTGTGGGGTGGGCTCTCTCCAATGGAACGAGCGAGTGAGTGAAGGGCAATCGGGTCCGTTTCTGCTCTGTACCAGTGTCATTCTGGAAAGGGCGAGCTGAAGCAACCCCCAGAGAAGACGGAGATCTCTCACTGGCCCCTCTGCAGGCATGGCATTTCCTCCCAGCTCATGGGGACAGAGCAGGTGGCGTTCCAGAGCTCTGCCTATGATTGTGGTTGGCAAGGGTTTATCTGGTCAAGCCAAGAAGAGGCCACACCAAGACTGCAGATGCAGGTGCCCCCTCCTGCCCTCTCTGCCGGCAGGGAGAGTGAAAGAGAGTGGCATCCCCAATGCCTCGCTCCGCACCAGGCCCTCTGGGGTACCTGCTATTCCACCCGTAATGGCCCTGCGTTTTTCAAACGGAGAAGCCAAGGCTCAGAGGAGTATATTAAAGCTAACACAGTCTGTAGTTAGAAAAGCCAGGATTGGGACAAGCAGTTGGCATAATGGCTATGTCGCTGGACTCCGATGTAGTCGACCATGGTTCGAGTCCCAGACCCCATGGATTAAACTCACACCAGGCGCGTGTGCGTGCATGCCCAAGATCCCTAGAGGAGAATGGAGGAGAAGGAACTGCAGCGTGGCCATCCCCACTGGGGGTGATTTCTCGCTTTCTACACTCTGTCTCTCTAGCAAGCACATGCCCCTATAGCAAAAATATCTCTAAAAAAAATAAAGTGAAAAGATAGAAATGTTGGCAAAGATGCAGAGGACAGGGAACCCTATACACTGCTGGTGAGGACAGACTGGCACAGCCATTGTGGAAAAGAGCCAGGAGGTTTCTAAAGAAATGTAAGCAGGATGCAGTATCACTCAGCAGACCCTCTTCTGAGCATGGAACCAAAGGAGACAGGCACCTCCGCATACAGACACCTGAATCCCCACGTTCACTGCACAGGCAGGGTATGGAAGCAACCCAAGTGCCCACCAACGAACAAATGGATCAATAACACACAGGTTACATATAAATACATACACAAACACATGTACATTGTACACACACGTACACACACAACAGAACACCATCTGGCCTTTCAAAGGTGATACTGCCATTTGCACAGCATAAATGATCCTGGTTAAATGAAGTAGCCAGATATGGAAAGAAAAGCATTGCATGTTCTCACTTACGTGTGCAATCTAAAAAGGTCACATATAGTGACACAGACAATAGAACAGTGGTCACCAGGGGCAAGGGTGGGCAGAAATGTGCGGTCAGAGGATACAAAGTTTCAGACTCGCGGGATGGACGGGCCTAGACCTATGTGCACCAGAGGACCCCAGACAACACAACTGCAACACATCTGAGATTCCTGCTAAGTGAGTGGGTTTTAGCTGCTTGTCACACACACAGGAGGAGGAGGCAAACGACGGAAGGTGATGGATGTGCTAATGTTCCTCACTATCGTGTTTTATTCTGTTATATTCCATAACATCGAGCTCCATGCACTGAACATACAAGACAATGCATAAAAACGAAGCCAGAAGGTAGGAGTGTACCCAATGCACTATCCCAGATGGCTTTCCTTGGTCTCTGTCTCCTGTGGAGTAAGCCACTATGTGCAGAGAGGAAGCCCCTGCTCAGTGGATCCTGCTGACATAACAGAGACGGGACGAAGGTAGCCGAACCTGTGGAGGTTCCAGAAAGGATGCAGGGATCCCCCCAACACACAGGTGCCCCAAACAGGAGCCTCAGAGTTCTGTCCTGGGGAAAAAATCACTCTCCAGTTTGATGAAGCCTCTATTTCTGATTAACGTGAAAGCATTATGTCAAATTATCCTGTAAGTGATGGCCTATAAACACAGCCCGGCCATTTAAAGTAGGCTATCTATGCAACACCTACAACTGACTCAGCTCCTCCGAACTTAGATAAAAAGTGTCTGCTAATTTACAGAAACTAATGCGTGTGCAGATGATTTACTGGAGAGAAAAGCAGTGGAAGAAATAAAGCTTTTAGATTACGCGTATTCATTAAACACAGCTTTGCAAAGACTGCAAAATCTCCCAGTGTCTGTGAACTGCTTTGCTTCCAAGGACCCCTTCACATCTGACCGAAATAAGCATCATTCATAATTTATACTCCCTGCTGTGTTCCCCTGCAGGAGAGAGATGAATAATGCTTACCTCTGCTGCAGTCACATATTACTTAGATAAGAGACTTCCAATTTGTCTTTTTTTTAAGTTAATCCTTGGTGATTTTAATGGAGGGAAGGAACAACCATATTCTACTCTAGAGGAAAATAAACGCTTAGTCTCAAACCTGGTAGATATATCTTTTTTGAAATTTAAGAAAGAAAGAGAGAGAATAAGCACGGGAATGGTTTTGCAGAGTTTAATGTAATGATGGATCCCAAATCCAGGGCCCAGCTACAGCAGGGCAGGCAGGAGGGTACCCCGGTGACCCTGGGGCCATGTGGGTTGGCCCAGGGTGCCGGCCCAGGTCACCCGAACAAGCGTGCTGGCCCGCAGGGGCTCCAGTGACCCCGGCTGGCTGGACGGCTGGGGAAAGACTTGGGGAGGCACTACTCTACCACAGGCCTCTCTCAATCTCTTTCTCTTGAAATAAATAAATACACTTAAAAAAAATAACTGATACATGGGCCAGTCACATAGCTAGTGGTTACGGAGGCTGGATCCCACAAGCCTGACAGCACGGTTTGAACCCCAGCCCCATAATTTGAAAATAAGCCCGGTGTATGCACGTGTGTGCCCCAAATCCGACAGTTCAGAGAAACGGAGACGCGATTGTGGCATGACCACAACTCATTACGGGGTGCTTTCTCCTTTCCCTCCCTCCCTCCCTCTGTCTGGAAAAAAATATACATTCTCAGGCAATTAAAAAAAGAAACTAACATGTAACTTAAAATAATTTTTTTGAAGATTTGTTACAATTTTTTTCATAAATTTACTTTCATAAATAACTATAAAAATGTACTCATATTAAAATAGCTTAACAGGTTCTTCCCACATTAATTTTTTAAAATTATATTTTCTTTCCTTTTTTTTTTTTTTTTTTTTTTCGGTGTTTTTGTTTTTGCGTCACGTTTTAACAGGTTCTTCCCACATTAATTTTTTAAAATTATATTTTCTTTCCTTTTTTTTTTTTTTTTTTTTGAGAGGTTTTTGCTATAGGGCGCCTGTAGTTGCTAGAGAGACAGAGAGACAGAAAGCAAGAAATCATCCCCAGGGGGGATGGCCACGCCACAATCCCTTCTCCATTCTCCTCTCAGGATCTTGGGTACGCACGTACAAGCACCCGGCATGAGTTTAAGCTACTGGGTCCAGGACTCAAACCACGGTCGACTACGTGGGAGTCCAGTGACATAGCCATTACAGCAACTGCTGGTCCCAAAATTATATTTTCTAACACAATAACATTTTTATTTTTTTCTTTCATGATGAAATGTTCATATATAGAACATAAGAAAAATGTTATACGTAATTTTTTTCATTAAAATTTTCATACATGGAACACTAGAAAAATAAAAATTCATTTGTGCATGATGTACATTGTTAAAGTTTATTGGATACCAAATATTCCATTGGGGTCAATTCTGACTTTTACTATTATAAATAATGTTTACACCTTCTATTACACATTTGACTGTATTCCTAATTATTTCCTTATGATAGAAACTAAAAATGCAGTGTTATTCTAATTATGAACTTTTTCTAGATTTATATAGTATATTTACTTATATTGTAGTATATAAGATACAGGTTATACATTCTCTGGGATATAATTTTATGTGTATATTCACATGCATTTATTCAGATTTATAGTTGTAAGTCTATCTAGAAAGAGAAAAAAGGAAGAAAGAAAAGGGAGAAGAAAGGGGAAGAAAAAGTACACAAAAATAGCAGTTATCTCTGGGTGGTGGGATTATAGGCAATTATTTCTATCTTTATAATTTTCTATAATTTTATCTTTATAGTTTTCTCAAAATTTTACTAAGCCTATTTCTTGATTACAAAAATATATTACCAGGTGCTGGTCTAAATCACTGCAGAAAACTTTTATGCAGAACTTTAAGTTATTAAAC